ATATCTGATCAACTCCATTCAGTTCAAACTCACTTTTTCTTGCTCCTAACCTTCAATGAGGTGTTTCTTTTTAGAAGCAATCGTTTACTACTACAATAATCTGTAACTCCCTGTACATGTATTACCTTCGGTTAATGATTTATTTCAAAAGAAATCCTCGCGCAATGAGTAAGAGTAGAACTGAGAATGGTTTTGTTTGTAGAGTATGGCCAGGGACATCTGCATCAGTTCTGAAGAGACAGGATTTCTCTATGCCAGTACTTTGACTTTGCTTCAGAAATGGACAACAGAAATTGCATTTCTGGCTGTGAAAGTGCTTTGGGTCCTGCTTCTAGATTTTGGTTCAGGATATGCATTCTTCTAAATTCCCACTCATTTTTCTTTAAGGCTTCATAATGCAACTGTTTCACCTTGTGCTTTAGATTCTCATTATTACTCATACATTAGGTATCCAGTGCAAAAATTGAAATGAACAAAGGAAGCAGTGAAGCCAAAAAACCCAACCTATATGACTCATCATGTGATACAGCAGACATTTTCTGCATAACTCCAAGAAAAAAAAATAAATTCTCCCAAAAGAAAAAAATACAGTTGCCAGTTACAGAAATACAGGCTTCCGAAAGTTCTCTCTTTTTTTTTTTTTTTTTAATTAAACTTGCAGAATAGGTAGATAGTTTCCTCTGAATATATTTTTGGCAGGCAAGTTCTGAAAAACCTTGTTCCAAGAATCCTGTAGACTGAAAACACAGCTGTTCAGATTCACTATAACACCATGTATACTCTTATTGGTGAAACAGGCTTAAGGGGCAGACAAAATGACAGCTGCTCCATTTCTTCTCCTGCACATAAGTCGTGTTTAGAATAGGATTAAGATAACTGGAAAACAACCCATTGACTGAACAACAGATCCTGCCTAGCAAGGGGATATAGATGATTTAAAAAATTTAAAATGTTTAAAGTGGGCTTTAAATAATTTCTTCATAATAGTCACTTAAAAAGGGAAGCAACATTTTAGAAGCCATCTTCAGGTTACTTCAAAAACTGGGGGTTTAGGCTAGGGAAATACAAGTTAAATACTTTTCTGATCTGTAAATATAAGACATTCACAAAAGGATGTAAGGTTTTTAAAAGCATTTAATTAATTTTGGAGCATAAATTTAGGAAAAATATTTTAGATTATAAAAATTTAAAGCAAGGCAATCCCATTGATTCCAATTTGTACTTGAAATGCTGATCTCATTTCTCCACCCATAGAGAATGGAATCTCATTTACATCAGAGTACAGATTCTGGCCCAAAACAGACTTCCTTATTTCTGATGCAATCATTTGCTGCTTTAAATGTTTTTAAACATTTTGAAGTCCACACACACACTTAAATTTTAACATGAACTTCGCAGAAGACAAAGATGAAATAAGTTTGGTGGTTTTTTCAAAATATAAGGCAGGCTATACTATCTTATGTGAGATTAAACAGAAAGACTGTCTCTGCAGTTGGCTTCCACAGCAAGAATATATTTCATTCAGTGGGGTGGTAGAACTTACTCTCAAATCCATAAACTGAATGCATTTAAATTCCCATATAAACTGTCTCTTGATATACCTCAGTACACTTGCCTTAGAACTTCACGTTTGCTTTTATGTGGTATTATTTTTAATTTTGGGTGCTGGCCAAATGAGGCGTATATTAATTTTTTTGAAAAAGTCTTCAATGGAGAATAAAACATGGGGTCTTTGCAAGTTTGAACAAAACCTCAGGGTGGATCACAGTAGAAATAAGACATTAACGCATCCTTAATCCCAGTGTGGAGGGGGACAGTCTGCTTGTAATGGTGGAAATTGAAATTAAGTATTGATTCATATTGAATTATGAGGATGTAACTTCACCATGAAGTGTTCGATTCTGTAATATCTTAAAATTTGCTAGTAAGGAGCCTGATTTGCCATCAAGATTCAGGTCACTGTACTGACATGTAAAGTAAAACCCCTCACCAGCTCCTGCTTAGTTTAGTCATCTCAATGAGTTCACAAGAAAAAACCTAAACATGCTGACTGACTGTCCTGCTGGTGTCCTTACAAAGACTTTAAGTTACATGATACTGAGTGTAACAAAGGGATTCTAGATTCACATTACAACTTTCTGCTGTTTGAGTTCAGCTTTATCCTGCTTAGAATTTTTCCACAACTGGATTTCACTAGAGGCAGCTCCACTTGTTTTGCAAGTTTCCCAAACTGATTTTGGAAGGCTGACGCCAAGTCATGTAATTGGAAAGGTCAAAATGTACACCACCCCTTAAGGAGCATAATGCTGTTTCCAGCAGAAGTCCGCAGCAAAAAAACCTTCAAGTCAGCTGAATGGAAATCGAGCATGAAGCCACTGGCATCTTAGACTCATCTTGGTAACACTGAAATGATGATCCTGAAATCCTTACTTAGACAAAGCTTCCCCTGAGTCCTAGACAGCTGACCAGTAATTGCACAGATTAACACTTGCATTCAATGACAGACCTGATTGCTTAAAGTTTATTTTATTTTAGGTTAGCAGTTCTAAAACACTCTTCCAGCTATGAATACAGTTTCTCTGAACATTTAATCTAGGAAACTAAATTAAAACTGCCATCTCAAAAACCCACTTGCCACCTACAGTGCTAACATCACAATAGGTTAAAACACATAGGTGAAAGAAGTTTCACAAGAAATAGGAATATTTAATAAGTTTAAAATACCTGTTTATCACCAGAATCATACAAAAAGGGAAGAAAGAGAAATAGGAACATAATAAAAGTTTACTTCTACCACAGTCCTGGAAGATTCTGTTTTGGGCATTTAACAGTTAAAGCAGCTATGGCACAGTAACTGAGCACATTAAAACAAAGAGTTGGCAGCGTCTGGAGGAAAAGGGCTTGCGCTCCACTGTTCCAACTTGTCAGTCAACTCATGCCAGCGCTCTCCACGTCTGCCTCTTCTACACACCCTCTTTACATGTGTCTGTCTGGACTGATCTGCTCATCTGTTAAGGGACTCTCCTGACAAGCCAAAAACTCTGCCTTCTCTCTGCTGTGGAATTGGATCAAATCAGCTCAGCTTCTTCTGTAGCCCCACCAGGAGGCTTTTTGCTTATGATCTCATTCTGTTTTCCTTCACTACTTGTCTGTTTTTGATTTCTAGAATGGAGGAAGCCGACTTGCTGAAAGAAAGATTCCAGGCCATAACAGTAAGTGCTTACAGTTATAACTCACTATTAAAAAACAAACAAACAAGCAAATAAAAAAGAGGCTTAGAAGCAGTATTGTGTTAATGAGCTACTGTGTGTTTTCTGAAGAATGATTTATTCCAGGGTGGAAAAAGAAAGAGTTATGTCTGCTTGAAACTGTTACTTTTTAATTCTGGTTTATAAGCTATCACTTTGAGACAGCAGAGTTGCCTGTACTGACTTTATTATGGGTTGTATTGCACTTTCATATAAAATTTAAAGCAGTAAAAGTATGTGTGCAAATCACTACTGGACAGTCTAAAATACATATTACTACCATCACAAGTGAATGTTTGCCTGAAGGACAGCAGGTCAAAAGGCAGCTAGAGAATTCCAGAACAAATTAATTTTCCCATTTCTCAACAAAACTGATAGATGAAAGATTTTCAGTTTTGCATTGTGGAATTAAATACCATTTCTGAATAAGTGATGATCTATTGTGAATATTGCTGTCTGAAAAGTAAAAAAGGATAAGCTTAGATTAAGCATATTCCTACACCTGTCAGTTTTCAGAGAAAAAAAAAAAGAAAAACTTGGTGGAGTTTATGCTGAAGACATTAGAAAACATTTTCCCTTTCTCTTCCAAAGGGAAACTCAATTCAAAAGATTTATTGTGCTTTTAAGGAACTGCTGAGTTATTTTTTAAAGGAATATAACCTGATGTAACAAAAATGGCTGAATCGAAATTCTCCTCTGATTTGATCTCCACTGAAACCTATTCAGTTACAAAAGAATTAAAGAATTAAACTGAAACAAAATTTGACCTTTGGGATGAAAGGAAAACTGCAGAAGGATCACTCACTGTCACAGGCAATCTTTAAAAACAAATAATGGGAACAAGGATATTTTTCACACTCTAAGCATGATAGATTAGTTGTGAAACAAACATTACTGGCTGAATAAATGGTGCCCAGAATTTAAAAAAAACTTATTGAAACCAAAATAAGCGTGAGAAGGCATAACTGGAAATCTACAGGAGTTGAATAGGCCAGGTTTTAATTTTCACACTAGATAAAGGCCAACAGGCCCATTTATTGTATTTACTTGGGACCCGACTCATGCACACAATAAGGTAATTTGAAATGTTTTAGAGTGTTTAGAATACATTTGTTTGTGTAACTGTAGTGGTGTTTGAACCAGACTTGTAACCCGGACTTTGTCTCTAGCGTATAAGCTCAAAAGATAAGAAATGTTTTGGCGCTCTGGAGAATTCCAGGCCTTGCAAAGTTTAATACTTCCTGGTATCTGGCAAGGAGGAGTGGGGCAGCACGCTTGCCTGATGAGGACTCCTGTGAATGTACTGGGTTAGCGTCCTCTGGCTGCATCTTTGCCTCCAAATACTGGAGAAGTACTTTTTTAAGAAACTGTGACAGCTTCCAGTCTCTTGCATTGCAGGAAATGGGAAATGTTATTTGGGTTCTGGCAATGACTTCATTTATTATGCTTGCTGCATAAAGGAACTATTTGCTTTCTACTTTCATCAACTGAGAACATTTAACTGAAACAATGTATTTGTTATAATGCACTGCAGAAATGAAGAAGCCTAAATAAGGCAAAGTTATCATCAGGTTTAAGAACATGCAATATGAGCTGTCTAAGAAAACAACATTACAATTGCAAGTTACTCAGTGGCTCTGGGAAGGTTTGTCCCAAGCAACATACCTGGGAATTTCACATGCCACCTACAATATGTATGTTCTAAAGGATCTAACAGACGATAGCAAGAGGCACTCAGGTATGCAAAGCAGTAAACAACTACATTTGCACTAAAACCTGATTGGTTTCTGTTGTTAAATGCTTGGCTCCTTTATAGCATCTGGCTCTCAGAGACACTAGGAGTTTTCAAATTCTTTTTCATATCTTCTCTGTGTATCAAAGCAAAAAGGAAAACCCTATTTTTATTATTATTTTAAGATTTCAGTGCTCCCATGGCTCTGAAAATGCACCGTTTTTCTCTGTTATATAGCTTCCACCTGCTGCTGGTGTATATAGAATATAACAAGTAAAAATTAAAATGCATCTTTTTTTTAGAAAGACTGACGTATCTTAAAATACAAAAGCTTTAGTGCTTGCTGTGTCAAACATGTTGAGACAAAACAGTCAAAGAAGTATCTTAGGCTTAATCCTTTCTCATCAAATCCTCCATTCTATGGGAGAAAAAAAAACCCCACACACAGAAAAACAATAGAAGATTGGAATTATGATTAAAGATTTGAATTACGGACATTTCTGCAGTCTCATGCCATCAGATTAAAGTGTCCATACCTCTAGATAAGACCCCTTGATAACCAAGCATTACCATTGGGAAGTTCTACAAAAACAAAAATACATCATCTAAAACATTACCTTCTCCACTGGCCTTGACAATACACGGCATCTGTCATGGGACCAAGCAGACCAATATTGGCACCACTGTAGAACACCACCACAAACTACTGGACTTGGCACATAACATACCTAGCAAGACACTGCTCTGTAGATGCATTTTCCTTCCTTTCACAATAGATCCAGTTTAGAACACTATTCTTTTCTATGCTCCAAGGTCAGGAAATACTCCTACATGTTCCAGTGGGAGCGAAAGTTAGGACTAAGGCTCAAATCTCACCTTGCACTGACACACAACAGAGAGGAACGAGTGAAGGTGCTCTGTCATAAAAAGCAAGTCTTGCACACATTAACAAGAGCATAGTAATAGAAGATTAGAGCACTTCTGCCAGCAACCTGATTATTTACAGGGGCAGAGTATGAAATTTAGTAGAAGCAAGGATCTCTCAGCTATCTAGGAATAAACATCTATTCCATTACACATATAGTCAAAACTTTGTACAGCAAGACATGATCTGCAGACAAAGCATAGCAGAATATGCTGTAGGAAGTGTCCTAACAGGTTTTAAAAATTATTCTGGCAACATGAGGTTCAAAAAGGTTCCTCATACATCTTCCTTGAATTTAGCTTCTGGCAGTAGACTTTCAGCTTTCTTTGACTAGATATACAAAAAACAATCTATTTCAATTTATTTAATCTGAATAGTTGTATAATGGATGTTTATTACCAACCAATGAAATTAAAGCGTGCTAGAACACCAAAAGACACAAGTAGAAAACTTTAAGAGAAAAAATAAGGGATGCAAGAGAAACATAGATCCCTAACAACAGAAACAGGCAAAAGTTTCATTACTGAATAGGTTCCTTATTACACAGTTAATTTAAAATGCAGTTCTTTGTGTGTTTACACTACAATTTCTTTCTGCACACTATTTTTGTGTACCACTTCTCATTTTAGACTGCCCAAGTTCTTAGTACACATCTCCATTGCTTTAAAAAGAATATTTATGTTGACTTAGAATATTTTTTAATAGTAGAAACCAAGTAAAAGTTCCTTCTCTGGCTAAGAATCTTATCCAGAACTTTAGTAAAGAAAAAAGCAGTTTCCTCAAGAATTGTAACAATCTGTAAATTCAAGCTCGTCACACTTTGCTCATCTAATGATGGATTATTTAAAGGCCATTCATACAATGAGATCACGAACATTTTCTAACTAAGGAAAGGTGTGAAGGTCAAAGAGCAGATGATGTGTCTCCAAAATCAGGACTGGCTGAGTAGCAGCTCTTGGATAAATTCTCTAAAATTGGACACTGCAGAAGAATTACATATTGTAGCAATCCTAAATCAGTAGCTTTGTTAGCTGAAGTGCATTAGCAAAACTCAAAACCACTAGAGAGATGAAGGTAGCATGTATCTTGAGGCAATATCCCTACCTGCTCTGCATATTAGAGAGGCAGACTCAAGAAAAAATTGAAAAGTACAGATGGTGTTTATAGATGGCGACTGCACTTTACAGACTGCAAGAGAGATATCACTGACCCTCTTTCATCTACTAAACCTCAGCATGCAATCAGTTGTTCTTGGCCAGCCTGCAGTCCTGCCCTCGATCTCCACAAATCTGGGTGGTTTCTTCTACTTCCCATCCTTCAGTAAGGTGTCTCTATAGCCTGTGGCCCCACTGCTGATTTCTAATTTCCAGTAACAGTGAAGTGACTCAGCCAAACACACTACGACTCATCCTGTTTCCAAATTTGAGATCCTAGGGAAACAGTGAAGAACAACTCCCATCCTTATGCCCAGCACTTCCTTCTTACTGACTTTCTGCACTACTTGTACACAGCTAGTTCCTCAGGTGAGCTGAAAGGGCAAGTCTGTTCCTGTGTTTGTGAGGAACTTAACTCCTTCCTAAACCATACTTGTCTGAAAACAGACTGTTCAAAAAAAAAAAGGAAAGGGGAATTAGCCTCCAGTCAGCAAACATTTCTGTACAAGACAACAGATGATTTACTTCCCCAGAAGACATCAAGAAACAAGTACAAAAGTTGTCATGTCCAGTAACAGGATTTTAGAGCTTTAAGGCTGACCAAGAAAATAACCTATTAATATAGCCTGTAAGAGTATAAGTTACCTTCCTCTGGCATGATTTCTTTCCCACTGGCTGCTGAGGACACAAAGTACTAAATGAGTGTTTGGCATCATATAGAGGAGCCATAAGGATACTCCACATAACAGCAGCTATCCAAAGACCCAAGAGGCTCAAATGTTGCCAGTGTTCAGAGACCATTCACCCATTTCCTTTTTTCTATAATATGCAGCAAAAAGGATCAAAGTGGCACTATGATAGATCAATACTACTTGAGGTTTTTTTCTTCTAAAGTTCAGCAGCACAAGGAATTTTTTTTTTGATGTAACAACATATAGGAAGCATACAACATTTCTCTGTGTTCATCGTTACCACTATTCAAATAATGAAATAAATTTCTATGTGTTTATTCCTGTTTATTTCAGCTATTAGCTACAAGATACAAAAGGTCAGTGCTGGATTCACCAACAGCCCATTTAATTTAGTGATGTATCACGGCTGTGCAGTGTACACCATGCAGACTCTTTCCTCTCCTAAATGATGTGTGGGCTGCCTTAGGAATTTTGGTCAGGACCCATTCCTAATCTCATTTTGCATACACGATTGTGCTCAAATGTTATTGCTTCCTGTTTTCTTCAACTACCCTTCCCAGAAGTATATTATATTTAATTTGGATCATCCCTGCTTTGTGGTCATTAACATGTTTAAAGGTACTTCAGAGAAAGAGTAATGGAAACTTACCTGCATAGGACACATCAGCTGTTGCTAAGAATTATGCACTGCCTGAGCACCACAGAAAGCTGTAAAATAAGGCTTTATTTGCATTGATTGATTTCACCCTACTGAACAACACTTAAAAAAAATTTTTAGCAACAAGTAATTTCTCTAAACAAAGTTTTGTTGTTCTCTTATTTTGTAGGACAAAAGAAAACTGCAAGAAGAAATTACACAGAAACGTCTAAAAGTGGAAGAAGAAAAAATGAAACACCAACATTTAAAGGTAAGTAAAGTGTTGGATTCATGTAACTAAAGATAGCCTCAAGTCATTCAGCATGAATAAAGGTTTTGGATTTTAGAACGCAAATCTTCATGCATTCAAGTCATGCTTTTACTGTCAAATTCTCACAGCTTTTTGGAATCTTGCCAGGATTCTATTTGACTTTAATAACCATCACCCTTTGAAAAAAATTACACTCCGGAGCTAATGTTATTTGATCACTTTCATGGCATAAAATTAGATCATAACCAGGAATAACTCACAGCTGAAACTTAAGGCTCACATCTCAGACTGGGTGTGTTCACTCCTTGATTCCACTACAGCAACCTCACTTGGTGCAAGGTGCAACACAATCACAAGGTCTAATTCCACTTTTTTTCCAGAAAAAAGCAGCCTATTTTTATTTGGCTATAGCCTTTTGTCAGCTTGTTTAATGATTTTTTGGCAAAATAATGCTGTTTCTTTGTCTATTAAAAAAAAACCCAAACATAAATGCTGCAAATATTGTCCTGAAATATGGCCTGGTAAACTCAGGATTACAAAGTCCAAATTACTAAGAAACCAAAAGATCCACCTCTGTAGACAACAATTTCTACCCAACAACACCATTCTTTAAATGTCTGTTGCAATTTGGCAGTACATGTCATTTAGGGAGATGAGACAAAAATCTATGCTTCAAGAAATATGCAACACCTGGTATTTTACATACTCTTTTAATTATGTGAGTGGACAAACAGTTTCAGGAAAGGTATGTTGAATGCAATACCAGGAGTGTGATGCGTCTCCTTGAGCAAATGTGGGAAAAGCATATTTAAAACAGACTCCTTTTCAAAATAGACACCCGATCCTGGGTTTCATCTACCCTCTTATTTTTTTTCAAGCCAAAAAAATGAGAAGTTATGATAAATTGGTTCACTGGGCCAGGCAAGCCAACACAAAAGTCACCCATGTTTAGGTTTCGTTGGAAGGTAGTGACCACAAGGACAGACTTGACCAATTGTGCAATGCCTTGCCTAAAGCGAGGGGAATATCTTTTCCAAGTCCTGTAACTAATGAGCAGCAAACATGTGACCGTCTTCCTCCATCTTAGTACATGGTTACATGGAGTACTGCAGTTTATGTTTCAAGTTTCCATGCCTATAAATTCAGAATGACTCTTTTGCCTTCTTTTAAAAAGGATAAACTGATATGTTCTAGACAACCAGCTAATCCTCACTTCTGCTGTGTGCAGGCAGAGTCCTAGGGCAGTTTCATTACAGACTTAGTACATGCCTTCAGCTAACATTAATAGGCACCACAGAGTTAAAGTTAAGAAAAACTCACCTTGCACTTATTCTGAAGATATTTTATGGAATTTTGCAGAAGGTAAAGTACTCCTGGAAAAATATTACTGAAATGTTTTTCCTTCGGAAGAGGAGAGAGGATGCAATTTGTTTGCCTGTTCTATGAAAAATCATACAGAAAAGTTTTTAAACCAAAATCAGTCCTATTGCATATGAATCAAGTCAGGGACCTGTACAGAAAATTACTCACTTGGCAAAGAGTGATCAAGCATACATTTAAATATATCTGTATATTTCTGGTGTATAATACATATCATCAGCTATTTGAAGCACTCAAAATGGAGACTACTTTTTCCAACTGAGTACTGAGACGTGCACCTTATATCAGGTGCAACTTTACTATATAATCATCCTCTGCTTGATGCCCTAGAAGCCTTGTCCTTTAATAAACATTTATGCTTCATCCTAGTTCAGATATTTTGATGAAGTCAAACAACACAAGAAGGTAGCACAGAAATCACTTTAAAACAAATTTATACTTCCAAAACATCAATGCACTTCCGTAAGTTTTATTAAGGGCTCATTTCCCTAGCAAGTCAGGTTGATTTCACTCATTTATACTCCTACCAGCTATACATAGTGAAATCTAGAGCTCCATGACCTATTCAACATATCTCCCACCTGTCCCTTAGGAAACTATTGTAGGTTGGTAAATCTCACTGTCATGTTAGCTGGATAACACTACCCTGTTCCTCGTTTTGTCCTTCATTCCTATTTATAACTCTTAGTAAGAGGTTTATTAACAGCTGGTTGTTTTTTTTACGATGGTTTTTGTTGGGAGTTTGTTTTTTTTACGTTGGGTTTTTGTTAAGAGTTTGGTTTTTTTACGTTGGGTTTTTGTTGGGAGTTTGGTTTTTTTACATTGGGTTTTTGTTGGGAGTTTTTTTGTGTGTTGGGTTTTTGTTTGTTTGTTTGTTTGTTTAAAAATTCTTTTTGTAAATAGGAATCTGCTCCAGCTTTGCAATGACTTTGTTTGCTGTCACCAAGCTAACTTCTTTCTAGAAAGAGATAGATCATGTATCATAACAGGTCTTAGTTCTCCGGTAGAACCATACTAGAGCAGGAACATTTATTCCCTACATGTGTGCCTCTACCACATGAAGTAGATGACGTGCAAGCAAATACAGACAGCTGTGTAGATAGGGCTTCATGGAACTGCAAGGGGTAATGAGGCAGCTAGTAGGGGTACAAGAGAAATTTCATCCTCAAGTAAATCTAGATGCACCAGCAACTAATTCTTCCTCCTACTTGGAACTGTTCTCACTGAGGTAACAAGGGAAAGGACCAGACAGAGTTGCTTGAAAAGCATAGTCATCATTGATTTGCATCTACTTTCCAAGAGCTCTTCTAATTTAGCTTATTACGGTTTTGGTTTCTGACATGCCTGAGCTCCATTAGTGCTACCTTGTAGGTGCTGGTCACACACCTTCTGATTCCAGAAGGTAACAGTGTTGAATTACTTCTTCTGTGAAAACTGCGAATATCTTTTATGCCTCTCCCAACATATCATAAGGTGAACTGCCATATCACTGGGAGAGCAAGAGCCACCAACTCAAAACATCTCTGCCTTCCAGGGGAGGATGACTCTTTCAGTGTTAGTCCAGCCTTGTTAAGGATTACAGTGGAGTTATTTGTGGAGCACACGTGGGACATTATTCACAGAATTTGCAGAATGTTGTCACAATACTATTGATGTGACCATGAAGTACAAAAGTGATTGCTTTCCAGCACTTTGGCCATTCCCAGGGTCCTACCACATCACAGTGTGTAAGCATCCCTTTCCCTTAACACACTGAGCCTAATGTAAAAGGAAAGTGCTTTCAAGTAAGTGCTATAAAATGTGCACAACCCAGTACTGAGTTAGAGATGCTTTATAGCAGAAGCAAGAGCTAGACAGCAGAAAGAACCCGACAGCCCCAAAGCAGCTGCACCTGCACTGGCTTGTGCAGGAGTGCCAGTGCCAGTGAAATTGTCAGTTGTTCAAAGGCTGTTTCCAAACTAAGCAATGTGTCATTCTTTCAAAAGTGGCTAACTAAATTTAAAAGATTACATGGAATTTAATCGGGAGCAGCAGCAAACTATTCTAGGAAAAGGCAAAAATAACACTATTGTGTTATGCCTGTGTTTAGGCAGCTTGTTTTCTTGGGCCTAACCCTATACATACACAAAGTTTTTGTTGATTTTAAAGGGTGTTATTGGTTTCCAAGGTCTACAGCACCAGCCCTGCTGTAATTCTCACAAGAAATTATAGATTTCTCTTTGGAGACAGCAATGCTAGATTAGTTCCAGCCAGGATTAAAATCTCATGTTCGAGGAGCCCATACTTATCATTAAAATCTAAACTGCTTTACTGAAAGTGAATTAATAACAGTTTCCTCCAACTTGAGAAAACAGTATTTTGTGGTCAATAAGAGCTATGCCAACACCAGACTACATGCATCTACCAAATCAGATAAAACCATTCTATTAAAATCTGCATTTACTTCATTTGAACTTCAGACACAACTGCCAGGAAGTGTTGCCAAGTGATCCTAAGGCCAGAGTCAAGGCTCAGGACATTAGTCTTGAGCAGCCCTTGTTACCCACAGATTTCCTAGGATCCAGTGTTGAGAGATAGCACACTGTACCACAGGGCTAAGGCGAATTCCCAACAAGCCCATTTTAGACACAGTTTCTATCACATCACATATGCCACACACATCAAGCAAGTTGAAAAATGCATTTAACTGCAATCAGGTCCTACGCACATCCTCCCCCATCAGCTGGGCCTCAGTAGTAACCTCATGTAAAGTATACAGTAAACAGAAAAGTTTAGGAAGCAACAGTTGAAGTGACTCAACACAGTTGAAGTGACTCAACACACAGGATGCAGGCAGGGATTCCAACATCCACTGCAAGCAGCACTGTTAATGCAGACTTCTCACCAGTGCTGGGCACAGGTCTGCCTCAAAGCAGCAGCAGTCAAAAATCCAATTTAATCTTCATCCACATCCTACAATTAACAAAACTACATAGGTAAAACAACAAAAAACCTAACATGGGAATCAGACAGCTCAAGGAACCTAAATTACAAATGGAAAATTCATGATTAATTAAAAACTTTGTATGCATGCCTTTTTCCTCCTCTGTTAAAAAGAGCTTTCTGAAGGAGCCCTGACTCCCACTTCCCCTAGGCAGCAACTCGATTTATAGTCCTGAGTTCAACTGAAGGGAATAAAAAGAGCTCAATAAATTTTGCATGGTTTACAATCTCTAGCCTGCAAATGTGAACTGATCTCCTTGAATAGTTTTTTTCCACCAGGAATATTTTAGAGAGCTCTGATAACTTTCAAATGTCACCTTTCATATTGTAAAGTAGCTGTAGGAAGCAGTCAGTGCATACAGCCATATTTTTCAAAATTGGAAAACACAGCTGAGAGATCCATTCACCTCTACACATGCAATACACCCATTCATAAGCCACTACGGTACAGAAGGAACTCCACAGACACTAAACAGGTCAGGACCTAAATACATAAGCCCTGGATTGCCCCTGTAACAGCAGTTCTAAATATGTAGCAGGTCTGCTGAAACACTAAGCAGACATCAGCAGCCCCTGCTCCACCATTCCAGTCCCACTATTACCCTACACATCCTCACCAGATGAAATGCGATTTCACTACTGTAGTTATCCAAGTTGTTGTAAACTCCAGAGATGTCATTGCATCGTTAACTCCCTAGAGATCTCTTCCCCCTATACAACCTTATTTACAGAAACTTTTCACCTTTTATAGCCCCTCCCAGAATTTATGCAATGCCATGACTATGGCATTGCAGTCAGGGCTATTGAAATACAACTATAGCACTTCTGACTGGAGCCTTTTGCACAAGTGTGTAATATGTATGCTTTGATACAGTAGTTTTGCTTTATTAAGGACAAACACACCAGTAGATCCACTTATAAATATTAATCTGTTACAGACAGCAACTGATATCCTCTATGTATGTATTTGTTGGGTGGACTAATAAAATGGGACATTGACTTAAAACCAAACTCCTTAATAGCAATCTCAAAACACAAATGTTTTCTAGTATTCCTCTTTCAGTGGCACTCACCACTGTCAGGTTGCCTTATGCTAGATACAGCACAAGAATGTCGGTCACATTTATGGCATGAAGACAAATACAGCAAATGACTGAATAGCCTAACTTTTAAAGTACACTTACCTGTCTGCATTTTTTTCCCCATCAGAAAAAGGCCTTGCGGGAAAAATGGCTCTTGGATGGCTTTAGCTCTCTCACTCCAAAAGAGCAAGAAGAAATGCAAAAGCAGAACTGGGAGGACCAACAACGGACTCATGAGCTGGAACAAGACATTTTCAGGTAGGGTAGTACCCCTGCCCCTCTGTTTGGGTTAAAATGATCCCTTCTTAAAATTCGTACCTTACTTCGTAAAAAATTAAATCAGCAGCAACAGCTAAACATGTGCAGTTTGACACACAGAGTAAAGCAATCTTTTGTATATTTCCTGGTCAGCTAGAATTAGAAAATACACAACGCAAGCTTCCATACTGTGAATTTTATCAAAACGCACAATGAATATCATGTAGAGTATTTGTTTCTCTAATTCCAGAAACTCCTTTCATGCTATACTCAACAGATGTAGGCCACAGTACATGGATCTTCCTCTGAGATTGTAAGTGCTGAATCACAATTTCAAAATAAAAGGAGTTTTAAAAGTTCTTCAGTTTCACTAGGTCCTGCAGAGCCTTTAATACCTGACTTCTACCATAGCACAGCACTTCAAAACAGTACAAGCTGCCTAGCACAGTTAGTATTGCTTGCCTTATTTTCACTTATCTTCCATGCTGTTTTGTCCTCAATTTATTCCCAGAAGCCAGTTACGGCAAAGGCCTTTTTCTACCTTTCATTAGAGATGTTCCTAGAAATCTCATTGCCTAGTGCCTCTCTACCACATATGGCTAACATCAAACTGCACAGATAGTCTCACATATGACTCCTTTTTTCACTGTGGATGTGATTCTAGGCGCTTATTAGATGCGGTTAGCCTTTCCCAAATACCACAGGGCTCTGTACTCAATCAGCTGCTTCCCTGGGTCCAGGCATACTGACTGGTACTACCCATTAGCACCCAGAGAAAAGACTAAATATTCCTGTTTCTTGAGATTCTGGTAAGTTTCATCATCCTTTTTTGAGGCTTCTCCTTCCATTTCAGTTCAATAGCATCTTCATCCATATTCTGCTCTTCCTCCACTCTCCTCCTACACAAAATCTTTCGGCAAAGTTGTCACCAAGATTACATCCTCCAGTTATCTCCCACCCACTTCCCTCCTTAACCTATCTGACACAAACAATAATTCTCTTGATGGACAGGCAGCAGCCTAGTGCTAGTTTGTCCTATAATTATGCTGACTTCTTGCTTGAAAGCACTTTTCTCAAGAGAACAGCTTTTCACACACCTCTGAAATTCTTTGTTGCAATAGTAGGAGGTAGACAGTGTGCTCTAAAAACATCCCAGCATGTTGTGATTATGAACACATGTAAGAGGGGTCCCTATGACAGTGTGATGACCAGGAAAGAGAGCCATGTGGGGAAGGACTGGCTCAGGAGCAACAGGGAAGCTGCACTGAGGAAGCAGCTCCCCACTAGCCCACTGGAAGTTCAGCCCTTCTCCAAGCACTGGAAGGATAGACAAGATTTTCAGTCCTGTTGATTTTGAGTAAGAGATGGGTGTTTAGCTGTGATGTCCTTTATGCCCTAAGAAATTGGGTGATGGGAGATCTTTAAAACTACTCTTTTTTAAATTTTTTTAAGTCTCAGAATCAAGTCAATAAATGGATTTGGTGTCTGGCTATGTTGGGGGAAGGATGCTTTTATTGTCCTAACATAACCTGCATCTAACACTGTTTCCTATTCACTTGACAACACCCGAATAAAGAACAAGCAATGCTATTGTAGTGGAGGTCTGTGAATATCTATGCCACTGAAAAGAAAACTACTGAACTTCTGACATAGAGTACACTTCCTGCTAAAATATTTAACTGTTTTTAAGGTAGTCTGTCTCCATCATCTAAATCTAGCCTGTCACCTCATAACATACCATTAGGGTTCTCTGCACCTGAGTCGTTGTACTTGAGCTGTCTCAGAGCAATTCTGGCAGCGGGTCCCTCCTGTCCTATCCCTGGGAAGAACTGGAATACAGAATTTGGACTTAAACGTTCTACGACTAGTTCAGAAATTTCAGCAAATAGGTTGATTATTCACATACATAATATCATTTCCATGTCTCACAGAATCCTGGGTTTGTAACCAGAGTCGTAGAGTCTTTTGATACTGTTTTTGTAATTATTATCCTGAATTTGTCATCAGCCTTTGTTTTTACTTCCTCAGAGACCAAAACTGAACATGCAATGAGCTTACTTCTCTGAATATAGCCATATAAACTTTTTTAGCATGACTACAATTTATCACTATTACAAATAGTAGAACAGTAATCCAGCTGGACCTTCAAACCTGAAAAACTCCTTTAATTGATGTTGGTAAATTAGCATCACAAAGGAATATTTCTTCTGCTTTAATTCTAGGTTGGATCCAAAATTTGACAACAGGGTATAATTTTTGAAGTTTATCTAAATTAGAAGCTTGCAGGTCTTTTAAAAGATGCCTACAGGCATTTAAAGGAAGATTTCTAAATGCATTTGTGCTCTAGGGAGGGAGAAATATAAGTGCCAAACCCATGATTTGTCCCTGATTGCTTTCTTGAATCATAACATGGATCCTGGGGTAACACCTCAGCCTGTCTCTATTTTTTGAGAATTACAAGTATTAGATGCAGATACACTGAATGGGAAGACTGCACATGTCGTACTGACTCACATGACCAAAAGCACACACATTATACCAAAGATGACAGAGGTTCCTCAGCTCCCACATTTGATGTATGCCTCAGTCTGTAACAGCCTGAGTACAGAAGTGTGCCTCTTGCCTTCCCAGTGGAATTTCTGAGACTAGATTAACATTCATCATGTACAAAAAAAATCCATTTTAGAATTCCTTTCACATGTAGGTGGGAGGCAGGGATGACAGATTTGCTTTGCTGTGTTGGTTTGGGATTTTGGGAGGGTTTTGGTTTTTTTTTAGTAGTTTGTATGTCTGCATTTGGGAGAAATGTATTAGGTATAAATTCTTTTCCTCCATAGTTCCAGATCAAGTTAATTACAAGCACATGTAATGTTTGTATATCTAAATGGCTGATATTCTGACTGTTAATCAGCAATTTAGACGCTGATGAAAATAAAGTGAAGTAAGTTTACTTGCAACTGTAAGCACTACAGTGGGAAAAAAACTGCAATAAATGTTTGATTGTAGTGGCTGGCCTTTCTCCTCTTACTGACAATATTATTCTTTTTAAAGAATAGAAGGCTATTTGTTCTACTCCACTTGCTTATCAAAACCTGTGAATGATTCCTTTTTTATTTTTATATATGCAGCTCTTTCATGGCAATTGAGTTTTTCCACGGCAAACTAAGTATTTCCACAGCCATCTGTTAATACCAGTGTCACCAACTAACTTTTCCTGCCTGTGACCTTCTCCTGGGAAGCTCCACTAAATTGCTCCCTCCTTCAGATGATTCCTACTTCCTGACATACATCTGAAATCATTCAGATTTATTTGTAGTGAAATGAATCAGACAAATTACAGTACCATAAAGTGAAAATATTAACTGACAAAAAAAGTGTAACACAAAATGACACGCTGTCTTCACTCTTACGATAACAGCTTCACAGGTATAATGCATCCTAGAAATGAAAATCAGTACAGAAATGCTCCTAATTACATTCCTGAGCCATCCTGAATTAAAAGGACTTAATCCACCATTGCTGAAGTTCTAAAGACAGTTTAGAGGTTTATGAGGCCTTGATATCAACAGAAATATTTTCATTACTGATATACTTACTCTTCTAACCAAACCATCTACATACCTTCAAGTCTTTGGCAGCTTTTATCTTCACAATATGCAGAGGACTCAGACAAGGACATTTGATTTTACAGCTGGAGAATGGAGGCAGAAGAACATACCTGGAGTCATGTGGGAACTTCCCTCTGAGCTAGGAATTTAAGCAGGTTTATTAATATCAAATATCTTTTACTATAAATTATACTTGCTACCACTCCTCAATTGCTGTTTGGCAAAGGCCTCTAGAAAAACATCTATGCTACCTTCCAGATATCATTATATTTTGTTCATACATATCCAGCCCATTTTCAACCCATCTAGTAGCAATACAGAAATCTAGCAATACAGCGTTCAGTATGAACAAAGTCCTCTAAAAAGCACAAAACATATACCATACAGTACTTGCACAGCACTTTTGCTGTGCCATAGATAGCACCCAAGCTAACAAAAGCTTGCTTGACTAACATACATGTGAAGTTACACCTTTGACCTGCCCTGTATATCAAAGATTGCTAAATTGATCATTTAGATACGTCATGCAGTAGCAGCAAGATCTATTATTGAGAAGCTCAGTAGAATTCTCTCTTCTGAGCATCTGATTATTAAACTTTACTCAATTCAGACAGATTCTGTCCACTGTGATGATTATTCTGCACAGGTTTTGTCTTCAGTTAAAAAAATCTGTATCGCTTTGAGGACTTTTTGAATACCCTTAGACTAGTCTGTTTCTTTCTGCTGAGAGAACAGTTGCAATTGTAGGCAGATTATTTACAGAAGTGGCAGCCTTGAAACATTCTTTACTTGGTTGTGGCACGGGCTTGAAACATTATTTACTAGGATGTCACATTATTTACTAGGATGTCAAATAGAGCTAGTGTAGGTCTGGCTATCCATCCAGATTTGAGCATTTTTTGATAAACGGGAGAGTTCCATTCTCTGTATTAACAACAGTGAATAACAAGTGGTCTGAACCACCTTGCAGACAAACAGCTGAGAGCTCTGGTGACAGATAAATTCAACATCCACATTATCTGTCCTATTCACCCTCTTCACGTTAGAAGCTGCAGCGAGCCAAGTGAGCACGTACCTTGGTCAGGGTAAAAGTTGAATGAAAATTTAGGAGTTCCATTTTCTCATTTGATTTTCAGCATATAGCACTCACTCTTGATAGAATTAGTTGGTAAGCAACATACTTAAAAATGCACAAACATCAGAGTTAACTAAGGTCTAATTCAGTGGTTTGTCCTGTGATACATGAAGGCAGGCTAAGGCTAGACAGACTCCAGAGCTGCTAAACCATTTGACTCACCTCAAAACTTGTGAGGACTTGCTAAACTGCGTTTTTCCTCTCAGTCCAGTATTCTCCAGGGTGGTATCTTCCTATCTGCTTTTCATTCTTAAGCAGTTTATTTTTCTTCTGGGGTGGCAGTGGTGCCAATCCCAACAAATTAGCTGGTCGCCCACAGCAGTCAGGTATACTCTGTAGAATTTCTTAATTCAGCTACTACCTTGGCAGAGAAACCTCCAATTTAGTATCTCAGCTTTTCATCCGCACTTCCACACTACTTATTTTCACCTCTTCAATGGTGAACATTACTGAAGGAGAGATGAACAAATATCTAAATGATTGATTTGAGACAGTAGCTATGTCATACTCCCATTTCTCTCCAAAACACTGCAGCACCATCAATAGTTTCTTATAATTGCTAGTGTAGCTGCTAGACCCTTTCAAGATAAATACTAACTGTGATGTAACCTCATAAAAGTGTCGTTTATTTAGAAGTTTCTAAGGATTTAAACACACCAGAAAGATTCTGGCCTAACTTTTCAACTGCACAAAGTCAAAAGGACTTTGATTTCTTTTAACTGCACAGATTGCATCTTTTACAAGTTTCCTTTCAACAAATTCCAGCATGCATGCTCACAATGTCCTCTGAAAATGAACCATAAAATCTATGTCTATATGCAAAGTATGAGTGCAAAAGACATACTTAAGGTCTAAAGGCACTTCCCTTTACATGGGTATGAGAATTTTTCCCTAACCCCCCTGAGCACTGAATCAGTTCTCTTAATTACCATATGAAGTGGGTGTTGGTATGGGTGTGAGAGCATATACAAACTTAAATAATACTTTTCTTGATCTCCCATATAACTATATGGAATTTATAATCTTTGATTTATTTGGGGTTGTGTTTTCTCTTTCTGTCTCCCCACCTCTTGGTTTTTTTTTTAATACCTTTCGGGTTTTTTCCTCCTCTTCTTCTAACTATGTGTCTAGGAGTGTTTAGAGTCCAGACTGAAGTAAACCCATAGTAAAGGTTAATGATTATTCAGTTCATTATGCTTCTGTGAGCTTTTAATGATTAATTTTTTCATTATGGTAATATTGCACTCAAGTCTCTTGCAAAAATACAACATTTCGATACATTAAACAAATACTATTCTGTAAGCACTACAGAAATAGGGCACATAGTCATTACACCAGTTTCTTTTATAGGTTTCCAAAAATATTCATCCCTCTCAGCTTTTAAATTTTAGCACTATAATCAATACTTTTGAGCAGGATCCTAATGGCATCTTGCAGGGCTCAGGTCCAAAGCATTAACTGCTTTTAAATATTTTTTTTAGCTTTTACTTTCATTTTGAAGGCATTTCTTTTCACGTCTCAGTTCTGAGGTCTGTGATACCTTTGCGTTTCAAAAAGGGGGATATTCTCACTAACAGATAAAAGTCCACGTAGTATCCTATTATTATAGCTCTACAAATCTGAGTTGAAGTAGGGCAAAAGCACAGTGTCATTCAGACTCCTCAAGCAGTCACACAGAAGGAGATAAATAATGCTTCTCTGCCAGCCTGCATTTGGCTTTTCTGGTCTGCTTATTGCAATGAGAGGATAGGTTTCCATAATTAGTGTTGACTTCGGTGTAATATCGTGGATACTAGCACACACTACAGAATAAGTAAAAACACGAAACAATTTTTTGCTACCAGGGTGATAAGGCCATCATTACTCTATTTGTAACTTTGGCTCAGATAATCTAGTTGTAACTCTATTCTGACTGACCTCAGCAACAGGTGATCTCAGTTGCAGTTACCTTCAGTCTACAGTCATCAATTTCTGACATGGATTCAAAAACAATGGAAGATACTCAAATATGGAAGGTTTTGGAACTTGCTTTTGTTTTTTCCTTTAAGTTAAAAGAAGTTCTTCCAAAAACAACCCCCAAAAGAAAAGGCAGATGAACCAGGATACTGAAGCTACATGGCACTCACCTACAGCATGAGAGATCCAGTTCAAGTCCAGGTTCAGACTTGAATCTCGACTCGATTCTAGATCTTCATGGAAAAGTGACTTCCCAACTACTGGGCTAATAAGGCATATTACTATCTAAAACTCAACGAATATGCACTTATGCAGAAAGGAACAGTCTTGAGTAGAAAGAGGAAAAATAATAGGATATGGGACACCTGCTGAAGTCACTGACTTCGTCACCATAGAAAATAATTTGACTGAGACACTTTACCTTAGAGGTATGCTTTAACCAGGCACAGTTTTCTCCCTCTCTCATATACACAGAGATCAGATTTTTTATCCTGGACCTTTCTGTCTAGAAATGTTTTGTCAAACGTCTTAGTGCTAAGAAAATAAAAACTTTAATTAGGGAAAAGATGTCTTAAACATTATACCCAGCTTTAACATGCAAGAAACCATACAACATAGATTTAACATATACACAGAAAGGGGAGGGGAAGGGAGCTGTGACCCCTTTTAAATAATGTACAAACCTATAGCAGAAGTCAATAGCCCAAAAGAAATTTTGACTCCTAAGTTTCAATCTCCCTTTTACAGAACGATAAATGTTTTTTAAGAAAACAGTTAGCCCATGAGCCAGGTCTTAACAAACGAAATATTTCTGGTTTGCACTGCTAAAACCTGACAGAGATAAGTCAATCGCGGAATATCCTGCTGTCTTATAGAATATCCAAAGTTAGTATATTCAGTATTCGTAAGGCTTATAGTCTTTGTAAAACAAAGCTCTTGCTGACTAGACCTTGGTACAATCAAGGCTCCTCCTCTAATAAGTAGATCCTTAAAAACTATTTTTTAGTGTCCGAAATCTCACCTAATTGCAATCTCAGAAAGTGATTGCTATTAGCACCTCATGCAACATGTATCACACATATCAAACCTATGTCAACTACCCAGTATTCTCTTGCAAATTCACTGGTAATACTTGTGGAAGTATTACTTCAGCAAACACTGCAAATATCAACCTTCCCAGCTGCTTGTCCCAGGTGCATTGAACCAGTGTGTCTTACATGACTGCTGTTCTGCTGAAAAGGAATGCTTTCCAGAAACAAGATTTCAGCACTTTTCTCAGAGAATTCAGTACACAAAATACCAATGAGTGATTAAGAAGTACACATGTACAAAAAGCCTTAGTACACAGCTCCAAAGAGCAGCCCTTAAAACTGCTGGTATTTTTAAGTTTGTAGCTACACAAGCTCTGGTCTAGTCTATCAGGAATGTTAGAATAACACCCACCCCACATCAGCAATACCTTGCATTTTTAATCGAGATTTCTTTCCCCTGAAGAATCAAGCTTCAGGCTGTCAGTCAGGCACTGTTACACCTGCTTTACCAAAGCAAAGCATTTTGAAATCCCAGAATGCAAAACCATGAAGAACTGTCTTGGCATCTTGGAGCTGAACACACACCTCCAACCCCACTTAGAAAGCCCCTGCAGCATCCAGGGTGTTTGTAAATTCTTTATTGTCAGTCCCAGACAGACTGGAGAACAACAAAGCTTCAAACTTTAGTTTCTTGAGCATCCTCCCTCTATGTAAGGTTGCTTAGTTTTCAAAATCCACACAATTATGAAGTTATCACATCATAAAAGTAGCCTGTAAAGCACATCACTATTATGCTTTCTAGCTGTATTAATTTTCATATTAGAAAATCAGTTAAGAGCTGTTTTATCTACAAGAAGCACTTGCAAATACCATTATTATTTTATCAAAAAAGTGATAACTGTTCTACCCCACTCAGGAATATGAATGCAATTTTATATCCATTGATTGAGGTGGTTCTTCTGGAATTGTAGTTTCTAGTTATAGATTGACTAGAACTCTCCTCCATGGGGGATCCTCCTGAATACAGTTTGGTTACATGTATTAAAATATAGCATATGAGGTGATGTACTATAGCCGTTTAAGTACTACCTGTTACAAGAACATTCTTCTGACTTTCCTACAACAGCAGAATTTGCTTCTTTTCATCACATGTACAAGTACACATACAAAATTAAGAGACAAACTCATAACCCTGGTGTCTGTTTACTAGATTCCTACATCTTAATTATAAGGGAAGAATCACATTTCTTGAGACAATGTAGGAGAGAAAATTTGCTTAGAGATGAGGAAATGCTGTAGGGGCCTATATTCCTTATCTATTCCCTCCTGAAAAATAAGGTAATTTCGGCCACTGTTTTCAAAGTAGGCTCAGAAGGATTCTATGCCAGGCACTTTAAAAAAACAAACAAACAAACAAACAAAAAAACCTATTTCATGGTATTTCCTGATGCATGTGAAATTATGAGCTGATCTAATATTAAAGCAAAATTTGTTAGGGTAATTAGAACCACCCCCAGTAATGTCCATATTCACGATATATTGAATCTGCAGTGTTGTTCTCTGCCTGGTATTAAATCAAAGGTAATTGTGATTGCAGACTGGAGAAGGAAATTGAGGCTCTGGAAAGAGAGGAAATGGAAGTCTCAGCTAAGGAAGAAGTAATTTTAAAGAAACTTAAGTCTGTTGAGAAAACAACAGAAGACATTATAAAGGTTAGTGCCAAATTACTCCAGAAGTAGAACTGATTCATCATAATAACCAGGGAAAGCGGAACTAGCTGGATCCTGTGAGTGGTCATGAGCTTTTGTCTAAAGTGACAGTAGTTCAAATACAAGAGGGGTCAAGATGTTATACTGTTAAAGTGCCCACATGTCTCCATTTGCTTGTTTATGGGGGTGGGGGAGCAATTTCTCTCATTACTCATCTATAGCACATCTCCAAAAAATAGCACTGTCGCTGACACCAACCAGTAACTTTGCACCTCAGCCATAGACTGACATAACTGGTACGCAGAGGGTTACAGAGGCTGACTTATTCATACTCCTTCAGGTGATGTGCCCAGCTAAACAGCATTATGCTTTACCCCAAGTCCCTTACAGAGATTATAATGAAACATGACTTAATATTATCAGTTATTTTTTGTCAAAAGGTTACTTTGTTATTCGAAAATCATCTTCAACTCTCTCAAAAGTACAGTGAAACTAAACTTCAGTTCTCCGGTTTTTCTTACACACACACACACTCCACTCTCTCTAAAAATAAGCAGGGAGATAAGCACATCTGGAAAGCTAAAGCAAAACCTTTAAAAAAAACACATCCTTGAAGCCAACCAGCTCGGGCCACAGTATGAGGCTGTGTCATAGATGAACACTTTATAATGTCCTGTCCTTCCCTTTGTGACTTGGAATCACGATGGCAAAAAAGACAAGAAAAATTTCTCTATCTCCCTTGCCATGCTCCAATTGAGCAGTTTCCACTTTTAGCCCCTTCTCAGTATGAAGCCATGGACACAAAGAGTTAAAACTATGAGGTAAACAAAAGTACTGTCTAGTTTACATCTTAAAACTGAGTAATCACATTTATTGTTAATGGTTCTCTTTCCTAGTCTGTGAAGACTGAAAAAGCAGGAGTTGAAAAAGGTATGTTTAGTCAAAAAATCATTTTTAAAAAGATTCTTGCAGAAGTCAGTGAAAGCATACTAAATGCTTTGTGGATGTTTTTTATTCAGAGGCAGCAGACTACATATACGCCAACATACCTGATCTTCCCAAGCATTTCAGGCCTTCCACACTGAAAAGTACAACACTTGCTGCCACTGATGATGACAAAAAGAGACAAGGTACTGCTTATTAGTAACTCCAAAGGGTGTCCATATGTGTAAAGACTTCCTATAACTTGAATCTAATATACTTTAACAGAAGGATAAACATTACAGATACGGGACAATGTTGTCCTCATTTAAACTGTATTATGTTATCAGTGAGGTCATCGAAACTGAGCGGTGAGACACTGGTATAAGGTATGTGTCACTGAGAATAAGGATCAAGCGTTTTCAACATTGACACTTGTTTCCAGCACTTTGTTTCTCTACCTGGTGTAACCTTAAGTAGTTCTTCCCTTCATATCATACATTTACTATGCGCACTCACACTTACAGGACAGCCAGCAATAGTCTGGTTATTTCCCAACTACTACAATGCCTCCTAATTCTTCTGAGTGCCCAAGAGTCTTTAGTGTTGTAGCATGTTGAGCTCTTTCAACTGCTATTGCCTAGCACAACACCAGGGGCCCAGGTTAAATCTGGCTTTCTGAGTCAATTACATAATGAAAACTGGCTCCTTAACAGGTTATTTTTCCTCCCAGAATTAGATCCAAACCAAAGTATTTTCTTCCATTTCAAGTTTTGACAGGATGGAAGGGGGCATTCAAAATGAGAATCAAATATATTGGTTATGTATGTGATAATCTCATGCATTTGACAATTCATTCTGACAGTCATTCTCTATCACTGTCAGAATTCTGTAATATTTCTTGCAGCTGCAGTTTAAGCACTTGTTTCTTTCAACAGCATTGTTTGCCATGGAAATTAAAGTTGAAAGAGACACGAAGACAGGAGAAAACACAGTGTTATCAACAATACCTCTTCCCTCAAAGGAGTTTAAAGAGACAGGAATTAAAGTCTATGATGATGGCAGGAAGTCAGTCTATGCAGTGTCCTCAAATGGCAGCACAACACAAAATGGGATGGATGAACTTGCTCCTGTTGACGTGGAGGACCTGCTACGGCAGGCAACCGAAAAAAATTCCCGGTCTCCTACAGAGTATCATGAGCCTGTGTTTGCAAACAAATTTTGCGGACCAGTTACTCCTCAGCAAGATAAATTAGTCCCTGGACCAAAACTGGAAGACATTCCCAGAAGAGAGATGAATGGATTTAACAATCATCAGACAGAATTCTCCTCCAAAACAGAGCCCTTTATGCAGCAACATAAAGAGAATGGGCTTGATCTTCCAAAGGAAATACAGCCAAAGTCTCCCTCTCCAGTACTTTCCCATTCAGAGACAAAAGGGCACACTAATCCTGAGAACAAGATGATATATAATGAAGAAAGAAAAGCTGAGGAATTAAAACCTTACCAAAATACAAGAGAAAGGCATAATGAGACAAGGTTTTCAAGTTCCTGCCATGTTAATGAAACATCCTCTGCACCTCAAGATGAGGAAGATGTTCAATACAGTATTGTCCAAGCTATACCATGTTATGTGGATGATTCTGAACCAGTAACAATGATTTTCATGGGTTATCAGCACATTGATGATGATGCAGAAGCAGACCAAAAGTTGTCACGATATGATGGGGTTATCCATGCAGAATTAGTTATCATTGATGATGATGAAGATGATGACAGCAAGTCTGAGAAACCATCATATCATCCCATAGGACACTATAGTCAGGTTTATCAGCCACCAAGAAGGAAAATCACAGAAGTCCCACAGATGAACCCTGTGAGCACTCTGGGTATGAACCTGAACAAGGTACCCCACAAAAATTCCATCTCTCTGCAAGAACAAGAGGAACGCTTAAGCTCACCAACACACCATGCTCATCTTCATGGCCAGGTATCTGGAGACGGTACAGAAGATCCTTCACTAACAGGTAACAGAAAAGGAAAATCATGTCACTGCTGTTCATTCATGTAGTAAACTGGTACTACTCTTATCTGCTAGCAACTGTTCCACTTCACTGTTTGGATTGTTTCATAGACTAATATGCAATTACTAATCATCTCTTTGCTCTTGTTTGTTAACAAACACCAATCTGTATTTTGGTACTGTTGAATTATTTCATCTTTAGCAATGCACCAGTTACCATATCAAAATATGGAAGATAAACTATCTCAGAAAAGACATTTCTGTAACCTTCAAGGACTAAAAGTGGTTCTCTTTAAAGTGACAATTAAAAGTTCCATTAATGTTACCTCATATAGCAGAATTAGTTTTCATTTCTGCTAGGTAACTAACAGCATTGCTCCTTAACAGTCTCACCAGAATGATTTTGTGCCTATCTGCATTCTACTTCTTTCCTAGATAATGCAAATGGCTCCTTAAATCAGAAAGACTGCTTAATAACCAGCTTTACTTTGCGTTTTTCTGAAATCAGCATTGCTAACCTTGCCTTGACAATGTTTATGCAAATTTTAACATTTTTTTATTAACCTGAGTTAGATATTTTTATAGCCTCTGAAAGACAATGAAGCAGTTTTCATCATTACATGTGGTTAGTCCACATAGTCCACAGTGTTATTTTTTAACACTTTTTATATTCTATTAATACTCCTGTGTATATTTCTTACTATTAAGCTTCATAATAAAAGGTTGAAAGAACAATAGCAAGATATTCCAGAAACATGGAAAGCTCTTTATGACTATGTTTCACTTTAATGTATACAATTAAACTGCACTTAAGTATATTCACAGAGCAGCAGATTTCAGACAGTAATCACATTCTACTTCTGGGAAAGAATTCTGTGCTTGAATTATAGGAAGATCAGGAGTCTTGATCGCACTTTCTCTCCCTGCTCCTCTTCCAGACTATATTCTGAATAACTTTGCAATTTGGTAGCACAAGTGTAAGTTTGGGCCCTGCCTAAAACTGCATTGGCAGCCCAGCATTTATTTACAATATAGGTAAACCCAGGAGAGAGGGTGATCATTGGATCATATAAGGAGTTTTCAGGGGTTTTTGCATCAGTGTGCACTGATTGGGAAGAGCTGTTCAGTAAGTTATGCTCTCAGTTTATCAGAGTATCAACCTCATGCAGTCATGCACACAACAGCCTGAAATATTCCATCAGTGCTGTCCAGTCTTTCTGATCAGTGAGGCCACTGCACTTTCCTATCACTTCAGAGGACCTTTGCTTCTCTCAAGCACCAATTCGGCCATCTATGCACTTCCCACATCCTCCAGGACCAAAGGCTGCTGCCAGCAGCTCTTCTGCTAGCAACTGAAAGCAGAAGTAGCTGGTACAGGCAAGATAAACCACTCCAGCAACAGTCTCAGCCCATTATATTTTGGGGATAGTCCCTTAATTCCCCCATTACATATGTATAGGCACATAATGGAGAAGCAACACTCGCTCACTCACCCACCCACTACGTGGTTGCTACTGAAAAAATTCACTCATCCTACAGCCTGCTGTTTGGGTCCTCCCGAACAGATCCTGGGAAAGTGGTTTCCAAGAAAGAACTGTGAGCTGGCAGTGCCATTTGGGTGGGCCATACACAGGGCATGAGATGTTAGCTGAGCACCTCTACTTGTAACAATCTTTATTAATTTCTGTCTCCTGAAAAGTGGCTGAAGTGTCTTCATTTTTCCCTGCCACTCATAGACACTCTCCAAACAACCTTTGGCCTGTCTCTTCTGAGGTTAGTGGAAAACAAACACTGACTTTCAGGGAAGGGGGAAGTGTAAATGTAGCAAAGATATTTGGGAAACTTTATTTGGTCTTACCCATTTACTCACAAGTATTCCATCAAGGAGAAAATAGCTAATTACAAAAAAAAATGGTCCCAATTAAAAGTAGTTTGGCAGCCACCTCAAAAATACACCCCAACAGTCAGTGCTGCTTCCAAGTGAGTGTCTTAAGTGCCCAGCAGAATTTGGAACTAAGCTGTATTCCTCTTTACTCCTCCACCTATTTATTGCCACTCCCTGGGACATTTTGATTAGTGGAAAAAGCCAGGAAGTGACTCAGTTTTTCCCAAGCAGTCCTGTAATCCTACTGTGACTTCTAAAAAGGAAACAAAACCAGGAAAGCCACTTAAATCTAGAACAATGTATTACAGAGCTGTTTCTTAGGGAAACAAACTGTTTTCAAAGCAGCCACTGATGCCCAGCCCAGCAGGTTCACCCTAAACACCATCAGTGAAAAGAGGGTAGCCAAATTGTTTTTGATACCGCATCATTCGTTACTAAAATAGCAAACCATACAACAACAAAAAAAATCCTCTCTGAAAGCAAAGCTTTGGGAGACAATTGCAGCATTTGAACATTATAAAGGCACCAAGGACTCTCTGAAAGAGAATGGAAAGCAAGGAAGCACAGGACAGACCAGGGAGACAGTCCCTTATGTTACAACCTTGCTTCGGGAAAGAAACGAACTTTCAGAGCAAGTTACTGAAAAAGTTAGAGATGGCCAAGGGCAACCAGGAGGCAGAGGAATTGTTCCATGTGCCAATCTATACAGAGAAATATCAGATTAAATTAGGAGCTTTCAGCATGCCCCCAAACTGACAGAAATGTAGGACATACCTCTTTTCCTATGGGAGCAATTTTCCTTTCCCCATGAGCTCAGTTGGGGGACCAATATCTTGGAGTACACGCCCTCAGCAAAACCATACAGAGAGAAGAATGGCAATGCTACAATTAGGACACTGGTGTTTTGCATTATTAGAGCTTATTTTCTTTAAATTTCAGTCAAATGAATCAGTGCCAAAATGCTTTGAAGATTCAATACTCGTTAGGGAAATTAAAAGTCCATGTGGGGGGAACAAGGCTAGACATAGTGGAATGAATAAGAAAAGGATAAACTGCAGCTGAATAAGCAGTAAAACCTACTGACAGTGTGAAACAGACTCTCATGGGACATGAACGTCCAATGCCTTTGGCCAGTAGCTTCTCTAGATGATCTATTTTTTTTAATCTTCAAAAAAACAAAATTTAGTGCCATTTGCATTGAAGAAAATAACATACAACAAAACTTGTTAATAGAGAAAAGATTCATGTATGCCATCTGTTTCTGCAACACAGAGCAAGACAAAAAAGGACTATCGGCTGTAAGTGAAGCATCAGACTGATAGTGCTCTCAAACCGCACCCAGGACTCAACTCCTTCAGAATTCCTTGGTCTGCAGACAGTACACAGGGTCTTTCTGAGAGCTAAGCTTAACATCAGTGGCCCTATAATATAAAGTTACACTCAGACGCTTCTGATTTGCAACAACCTCAGCATTCAAAATATAACTTCGGTTGGACATTTGCTGACATGCATAAATCAAGTAAACAGCTGCTTTGACCTCCTGTCTCTCAGTACAGAGACATACGCAAGATGAAGGAATGAGGCATGCTATTTTGGGTGACTCTTCAAACTAACAGGTCACAGAGCTGGAGATTATTCCCACTGCATTCTCCGATCAACTACATAGTGGTGGGAGACTCTTATATATCAAACAGCAGCATTATATTGCTGTTCTAAAAATAACCTTAACATTTAATCATTTGCCCTGCACTGTCAGTTTCAAACTAACCCACATTATACTCAGTTACAGACAATAACCATACTGATGTTTATATAGATATTAAGTTACTTGGTCAGACATTTATCAGGAATATGACTAACTCCCACTCTGACTCACTACACCAGGAAGAGAGGAAAGTTTTCCGTGAACATCAACACAAAAGAAGGCGGCTTCCAAACAGTTGTATCTCCCACTGATGAGTTTAGTTTAAACAACAAGTTTGTTTAATTATTCATACATCCTTTTAATCTGTCAGCATCTAGTCAAGGACAATACCATCTGTCTGCAATGCCTTAGTGAATGTAACAGAAACAAAACAGTTGAAAAAGAGCTGGGCTTATTTTCAAATAGTGATAATGGAGTAATTTCTTAATTAACTGGCTTTATTGCAAAATTACCAGAACTAATGCCTTCTACTGATTTCTTTCTATAACACTAAAAAAATGCTTATTCTGCTGGATTAACCACTGGAGGTATGTGTATTCTTCATTTTTCTAATTAAGGAGATTTAGTATCAGACATAGAAAGTCTTAAAATGCAATGGCTTTGTTTTCTTTTTTCAGCTCTGAGGATGAGAATGGCAAAGCTGGGGAAAAAGGTGATTTAACATCTGTAATGACATGGAAGTAAAATTTACTACTCAAAGCAGAATAAAGCTAAGAAGAGTTTCTTCAACACACCACTTTTGATCATAATTCTTGTTTTGCTCCTCTGTTTTATGTATCTGGGTTATTTTGCCCTCTGCATAATCCAACGGACTTTAACAGACTTTTAGATTCGACCAACTGCCATATACACATAAATCACATCCCAGATTTTCCTGAAAGTAGTGGAAAGTTACCTAAGACTATAAATGCAGTGTATATCCAAGTACAAATACACGTGCATACCTGTTCCCACAATCAGGAATACGCTGTTGCTATATACACAGAGCAGAAAAACACCCATCTTTGTGGAACTTCACAGGACATTGCTTCATTTCCAAGTGTGCCAATCTACCTGATTGTGATTGAAAATGCTCCTCTAGCATTTTTCTGGTAAAAGCTTTGGTTAATAAAAAACTAAACGTGACAGACAGGAGCAGGAAGAAATGTAAATATAGAAGCTGGTTTCCAAGCATACCACCTCGGCCAAAATTTAAAGCATTCCTTTTGAAGTGACAGCAAAACAAACCAAAAACAGTAAAGTCAGCATTTAAATATTTAGCCACCTTCTGGAGCACCACAGTCCATCCACCCTTCTATTTTACATATGACAGCATAGCATTCCTCAGTCCCTGCTCCCTTCCCCATTTCACATAGACGCTGCCCACCCATAACCTCACAGATCAACCTTGTGCATAACACTATGAACAGCCTGACCTCCCAAGCATGGTTTCACCTCTTAGCTTGCTACAGAAAGTCCTGCTTTTCCAGGAAGCTGGTTGCCAGACAGGCAGTGCCTGTCCAAAAAAAAAAAAAAAATAAATAAAATAAAAAAACCACCCCACACAAGCAAACCCACAAATTACTACTGAATAGACAGATTTAAGTTGACCGGGGAAGATAAAATTGGTGCAAGCCTCCCATCAGAAATACTGAGTTGCCAATGGCTCATCCTGCAGCTGCAACAGAAGGTCTGTTATAGGTGCAGCCACTGCTGGGCACAGCTCTCCATCAAGGTCCAAGGCTCCCACCAAGGAACAGGTTAATTCTTTCCACATGAGGAAGAAGCTAGGGGCCCTTAAAGCAGCCATAAGGTACAATTACACCTAGAAAAATCACATGCAAGTCAGATTTTTCCAGTACATAGTTCCGGGGGCTGGGGGGGAGGATACCTCATAGCACTACATCTTTATATTCAAATTAGTATGATAGCTTTATTTTGCTCGGTCTTAGCCTGGTTTGAATCATTAAACAGATAAAGCTCAGGTTGTGTTATTCTAGTATAGCCGACTACTTATGCACCAGCAAAAAAAAACAACCATAACTTTTTTGCTGGTCTTCCTCTTTTCCAAAGCGGGAAACTGAAGCTACTACCTCATAGTGAGGCACGATGGTAGCAATCAGCTGACTTGTAGCCTCTAAATACTCAGTGGCTCCCAGTCTGAAGTGGTAAGAATCTCAAATTTTAAGACTTGTGAGAGATGGTTACCTGGAGACTGGAATAGTAGATAAGAACAAATAAATTTAACTATATTACACTTTCTCTATGTCTGTCCTGGGTTTTTCTTCCCTCCTCCCTTATGTTTCTTCTGTTATTTGTTGGTTCTGACAGCAGAGGGAGTCACCCTCAACTTTCTTTATTTTTACCTCTTCCTCAAAGGTTCTTAACAGCATACACCAGAAACTGAGAGAATAGGAGAGTGATATGAAGTAGTCACAAGCAGTTTTTGTAACAGTGGCAGGTCTGTGCTATTAAACTTAAATCATCTGGAAAAAGGGGCAAAAATGCTGCTGCCAACATAATATTATTCAAAGTAGTTTAAAAGAAAGGAGATTGAAGAGAGACTTCACAACACTGAATGCATAGTAAATCTTCAGGTGAAATTCACTACCAATACAGGAGAAGTAATGTACAAAAATAGGAATAACCCTTAACCACACATAGCACAAGAAGCAGCTGTTTAGTTGGTGTCAGGAGCCTCTTGGCTAGAAAGTACAACACCTTAGCATTATTTTAGATAGTCCTCTGAAAATATCAACTCCATGCTCAGAGACCATGAAAACGAAGAGAGCTTTAGGACTCATTAGGGAAGGCATGGGAAACAAATCAAAACATAACTGTGTGATAGCACTCATATATACAATTTGAGTAGTTTGGTCTGTCCATCTCTGAAGAGACAAATAGAGAAGGGTAATGAAGATTATCAGAAGCGTGAATGGCTAAACATGGCAGCAGTCATACAGGGAAAAACACAGAAGGCACAGACATGAGAGGCCTAGAACACTGTGATAAAGGCAGGAAGGTAAGAACAAAATACAGAATGATATCAAGAAGCAGGCCTAAAACAAAAACAAGCAGCGGTTTCTCACAGTGACTAATTAAATGGGAGGGCAAAAGCATTAATAATTTTTTTTTTAATAATTCATTGCACATTTCATAGATAAAATCCAATCACTGCAAATGTTCACGGTCTAACTACAGTTTCTAGCTTAGGACATCCTTGCACAGATTCCAGCAAGTAGCAAGATGATCTTGCTGGGAAGAGAAAAATGTCACTTCAGTCTTGTTACACCTCTTGCTCCAAGCATTCATTACTACCATTTCTGGAGACAATACTGGGCTCAGCAGATCTCTGCTTTGCCTTGTTGCAATTCTGATGTCCCATACATCAAAACTATTCAGTTTGTGCCAGATGAATCTGAACTGTCCCACAATAATACACTAGCTAATCATTAATTTAGAGGAACAGAGACGTAAAATGGAGCATTCACAAGTTGGACGATGAATATCCCTGCTTCCCATAAGCACATAAGTGCTGCTCCACAGATTTCCCACGTCCCATATCAACAAGAACAGAATTGCAGGAAGGCTAATCGTCTTTTTCATATGTCAATAAAGAAGCCATGCAAAACTGCAATCCACCATTAAAGCCAAATGATTTCTAAGGTCCAGCAAGGCAAAAGTCTCTCTGAAACAAAGCCAAAGCTGGGGTCCTTCTTAGTGCAGTATCATTTGTCCAGGATGACCATCACAGACACACGGTTCAGTGTCACACAGATGTTCAGCTTTTGTGGTTTACTATAAAGTCACTTTTGCACAGCGCAAGGAAGACCAGCAGAAGTTATACAGTGCTTGAATTAGCTCATGTATGAGCTAAAACTGATGGTACCAAGTGTGTCTGAAGCACTTATCCTGTGCTGATTTTGCTGTGCCGTTCCCTCAGGTGAGTGCTACAGCTCCCTCCTTCACACACATCCCTTAGAGAAGTTGGGATCAGATTGATGTGAGCAAAGAATATCTCAGAATTAGTAGCAGATCATCCCTGTTAACCATCCTTACGTTCACCTGGAGTTTTTCTCAGTTTAGCCTGCACCGAAGGCCTAAAATCACCGAGATACTAACTTCTGCATTGAAATGAGAAGGTTGCAGTTTCTCCTCAATGACTGCCATTCATCTTAAGTTGTTTAAAAAGGGATCACACTCCATCACCCTCAGAGGGAAGAAGTTCTTCCTCATGTTCAGACGGAACTTCCTATGCTTCAGTTTGTGCCCGTTGCCCCTTGTCCTGTCGCTGGGCACCACTGAAAAGAGTCTGGCCCCATCCTCTTGACACCCACCCTTAAGATATTTATAAACATTTATTCGGACCCCTCGCAGCCTTCTCTTCTTCAGGCTGAACAAGCCCAGCTCCCTCAGCCTCTCCTCACAGGAGAGATGCTCCAGTCCCCTCATCATCGTATGTAGATGTACCAAGGTAGAGCACAGTTTACACACATGACAAAAAAAACAGGTCACAACTGTTCAAACAAAAGCTTAAGCATAAATATCAAGGAAACACCCATTTCATAACGTCTATCTGTATGAATCTGTGTAACCTGAATCTAAAGATCAAGTTTCTTAATAAAGCTTCAGAATTTTTCCAATTAGTTCATCTAGGAAGCCTTCCTGTTTTGGGCATCCTTTACATATCTCAACCTCTCACTGACAGATTAAAGAAAGCAAGCAAAATAAAAATGCTGTTATTTGAACAACAGCACCACGCAGTGTTACAAACCCTAATGCAAAAGAAAAGGCAGGCAATCTCTCTCTAGCCTTCCCAAACGCGGTAAAGGAAAAGCATGGGCATTATTACACTGAATAACAAGTCTCCCCATCTTGTAATTTTTGACAAAGCAGAAAACAGTGTAGGGTTCAGTGTAAGGAAGAGAAACAAAGCACACAATTTCTTAGTTTATTCTGCAGCCTGCATGTCAGCTAGCAAAAAAATTATTTCAAGTAAAGCTAAGTAGCAGTGAATTCCATTGCACTTGAGATATTTGCATCAGTTAGTTTTCATTCTAAACACACACAAGAAACATGATTTTTAGTTAAGTCAAGAGCAGATGACCAGTATTTGGAGGCTGTACTTAACAACTCAATCAAAACAGTAAACTATTTGTTGTGAGATCGATCACAATTTTCTACTTGACTGGCAGTGTTGTTTGTCTAGAGGAACCCCAAAATAAATATGCTAAAGTTCTTTTGTCATCATGAGTTTAATCTAAGAGCAAGAGAACACCACAACCTTCTCAATCTCTTTTTGTGATGAAGTTTTCTTGATTTCAAGTGATTCCTTTATGAAGAAAAGCAATGGGAATTTTCTTCTATACAATATTTCATTATTCAAGAAAAAAAGCAAACAAACATACAGCATCCACCAGTGTCTCTAGAACCAAACTGCCTGTTGACATATTTTTCTGCTGATATCGAACCCTCAGATTTTTTTTTTTTTCCCAAAGGAGTATGCCACAAATTTTGGAAGTCACTAGAATAAAATGACATCACTTCCTCTTACTAATCATGCAGGAAGAGGGCAGGGGTGGTGGCATGAACAGACATTACAAAAAATTAATGCCTTTCCATCAAATAAGATACAATACTGCACACAAGGCCTCACTCAAGAAACTGCACAATATTGCTAGC